CGGGGGGGGGGTGTGGTTGGTAAGGGGGCGGCACCTGTGTTGTTCATTTTTTTTACACACGTAAACCAGCGTGGAGACGGAGGCCTTGACGTGGCCTGGGGGGGGCACACTAGTCCCTTGGTTGTCACTTGTTCGCGTCTCTCTCTTATATTGTTAGCATCGACCACGCTGCTCGGCTAACCAAATGGAAAGGCGCGTCGCTCTCGGTGTTAAGGGGGGTACTCATGGACTGCAAGGTCTTCGTGACAACACACGACGCATGCAGTCCGAAAACGGGATACGACATCCTCGACGAGATTCAAAACAGGTCAGGGCGCAGAGCGGGTGAAGCAACCACGCAATACTCACCCTGCACTTGGCCCTTTGGGAGGAAGTTCTACAAGAGGTCCACAAACACCGCACATGCGTCGGAAGCGCTTGGATCACAACCCTCCCCGTACCCCAGCAACAACACGGGAGAACAGATCTCACCCGACGACACCAAGTGGCGAGTGGCTCCGTTGCGGAACTCGTGGAAGACGCGGTTGCGGTGCGACTGCTGCATCTTGGCATGGATGTAGAAGCACGAGTAGCCCAGCTCCGTGATTTTCTTCGCCAGGAGCTCCACCCCTGTTCCATCAAAAAAGAAGCGGGTCAGGTGTCTCGTCCAATGCATCACCTAAGAGTTTGATCACTTCACCTGGTCCATTTAACGAGTGATCTCGTTGTCGACAACAAGCGCCCCCAAATAGTAACCGGCGCGTGAAATCGAGCCTCGTTTCGAAGGAACATCAGCTGGAGCCTTATCGCGTTCCACTTCGCCTTTGGTTGATTTGTGCAATCATTTCATCTCTTCTGGCCGTCGATTTGAACGCTTTCCTGAAATGTTTTCGGACGCACCAGTCGGGTCACACAGGAGGAAAGCCACACAGGATTTTTTTTTGCTTTCGTTGTTGCTCCACCTACCCTGTTAATGCCTTGCCGTCATTTTCACGCACACAAAAAAGAGGCGCTCATTCTCTCTTCCACCTACAAGTCGAACGTTTCCCACGCCCAAACTAACAGCTATGCCACAAAAATATCCCAGTCTGTGAAACTACTGTCGGGCACCACAATTCAAGGTCACGTCCGAAGGTTGAGAGGTAATCCACTCAACGCAGGAGCGACCAGAACATAGACTTGAAGATATAATGCATTGAGGCAGTCAGAGCCCAACCAAACGTTAACAACGATTGCTCGAAACAAATGTATCGCTGGCCAGTGCCTTCACAACAATAAAGGCTGCTGCATACCATTACATCCAACCCGTTCGACAACGATCGTTGAGGACAACGAAAAAGGGGACTCGGGCAGTTCAACTTGGCACAAACCTGTGTCTACAAGGCTAGTGTGCACGACAATACTAGAGTAGCAAATGACACGAGCTCTTTGCTGAGCCGACCGACTCACTGTTGACGGAGTTGCAGAAGATGATGGACTGGTTGACCTCCAGCTTGGAGAAGAGCGTGTTGAGGCAATGCACTTTCTGGCGCTCCGCAACGAAGGCGTAGAATTGGGTGATACCCTGTTGACAAAAAAAAAAGAACAATTAAGAAGCACGAAACTGCCGTCACGCGTGTTCTCGTCTACAATAGTTGGCGCAGACAACGCATGAGACGAACGAGCCGGGATGGATCTCAAGTGGTCATCGGTAGAAACAGCCGCGCCGGCGCCGACAAGGGAGCTAGAGGGAGCGAGAGGGAGCTCAACCTCCCAACCTTGCCGAACAAGTCAGTCTCACATGGTACACTGCAGCAGCGACTTCCCTTACGTTTCACGTTCAAACCGTCAACCAACCAACCGGGGCGGGGACTCTTTTGATGGCAAACGCCAGAAACATGCGCGCAACAACCTTCTTCGTCGCTCGCTCCCACCGGCCTTTCCATCTATTCGGAGCACTGGCGACGCTGACGCACATGTAAGCCTACATGCTAGATATACACGGCAGCATATTAAAATTGTCCGTGTGGTAACGGGGTGTAGTTGGTGGAGTGGGGGGGGACATTTGGTACGTCAGGAGGGCCTATCTCGTTCTGGCGGAGATTAGATGTGTGTTTTTCTTGGCGTGACAGATGTCAACATGAATTCCTGCTGACATCTGTCGCGTCAAGGAGCTCACCCAGCTCCTCCACTAGACCAAGGTATCTCGCCCAGAGCTACTATTAACTTCCTGTTCTCCCGCAATCCACCGACAGCAACCCCCGTCAACACATGCCAACGGTGTTGCTCCATCACCACCAGCATGTTCATCAACAGTGCACAACGAGAGAGACGACGAGAATCGTCTCATCTACTGCCGTAGACGTTGTCAAACCAACACCACCGCACCAATACCGCATGCGCCAATCCCACGCGGCGCGCACCTTGAGCGTGAGCTCGTCCATCAGGTTGATCTCGTAAGGGTTGCTGATGTGGCGGTCTTTGAAGTCCTTCACGGTGACGGGGAACGTGGCGCTGAAGAGGCAGATTTGCCTCTTCCTGGAGCAGTGGTTCACCAGCTGCTCCAGCACGGGCTGGAACTCGGGCGACAGAAGCTTATCCGCCTGAAAAAGAAAACAAAGACAAACAAACGGTTTAAGCACAAGGAGCACAGAGCGAGCGGCCGTGTGTCAGGCCAAAAACTAAAACAACGATGTCGTAGTATATTGTTGCGGAAAGAGCAAAACAGAATTCGATCGCGTGACTCTACTCACCAACACAGGAGTTCAAGGCATGCACGCATGAATGCATGCGCCCCAGACGGAACAAAGTTGGGGGTCAGCGTCAGGAGAAGCACAAGCGCCCCCGGTGGGAGGAGCCGACGTGCCGAAAGTGAAGGCAGAAGGGCGAAACGGGTCAAGGCCACCACTCATCTCATCTCTTTCATGACAAACATAAGAGAGGACCCTCCAACCACCTACTAAAGTACCACCTTTCTTTCGCCGGAAAAAGCGTGTTTCTACTTTTCGCTGGGGGAGGGGGGGGGGGGGGGGGGG